AGAGAGACAGCGTGAGCAGGGGAGGGTCAGAGAGAGAGGGAGTCACAGACTGAAACAGGCTCCAGGCTCTGAGCTGGCAGTCAGCACAGAGCCCGACGCGGGGCTCGAACCCACGAACCGCGAGATCATGACCTAAGCGAAAGTCGGACACTTAACCAACTAAGCCACCCAGGCGCCCCAGAAAAATGCTATTTCATAGCATGTGAAAATCCAACCCAATCCACATTCCGTGGTCGTGTTTGGTGTATGGCCACCCCCACTCATGGACAGGTCAGAGCCGAAAACATGGACTCTGGCTTTTTGCAGAAGTTTGCTGATCTTGCCCCAGCCCCTCCCGAAGGCCAGAGGCCAAAAGCAGCCTGGCCTGGGGTTGAGCTGGGATGGGGGCGGGGGAGGGCTGGCTGGGCAGCCCTGGGTTTGGGTCCCCTCCCTACCCTCTTACAGGAAATTTCAGGAAGGTGACTTAACCCCTCTAAGCCTCAGTTTCCTGCTCTATAAAGTAAGGAGAATCACGGTTCTCACCTTGGGGGGGGGGGGTCACTGTGCTTCTGAACCGAGGTTAAATCTAAACTCTGGCAAACAACAGGTACTCAATAAATGCTGAACTTTATTATTCTACTATAGATCAGAGGTTCTCAACCAGGGGCCGTTGTGCCCCCAGGGGACTCCAGGAGATGTCTGGGGACATCTGTGGCTGTCACACTGTGGGTGCTTCCGGCATGGAGGGGGTGGGGACCAGGATGCTGCTTGGCCCCCACAGCACCCAGGACAGCTCCACGGTGACCCAATCTGAGTGTCACTAGTGCTGAGAGGGACAGACCCTGCAACAAATCCACCATAATCTCTACCGCAATTTTATTTTCATTTTATAGAGGCAGTAATGGGCTCAGAGAGGTGGAGTGACTTGTTCAAGGTCACACAGTGAGCTAGGGCTGGGTGACTTGATGCTAACGCACCTGGGGCAGTGGGAATCACATCTGCTGTCCAGTGAGTGACATGATGTGTGTGACTTTGAGTCACTCACTTTGCCTCTCAGAGCCTCGGCTTGCTCATTTAGAAAACAGGAATGAAGATGCCTTCTGGCTTTCGGGATTAGAAGGGAATTAAGAGTGATCAGTGTGTGGGGGCGCCTGGGGGGCTCAGTCGGTTAAGCGTCTGACTTCGGCTCAGGTCATGATCTCACAGTTCGTGGGTTCGAGCCCCGCATCGGGCTCTGTGCTGACAGCTAGCTCAGAGCCTGGAGCCTGTTTCAGATTCTGTGTCTCCCTCTCTCTCTGACCATCTCCCATTCGTGCTGTCTCTCTCTCAGAAATAAATTAAAAAAAAAAAAAAAAAGAGTGATCAGTGTGTGAAAACCACTCAACCCAATAGCCACAGGCTGCTGCTAACCAGCCTCATTCTGGAAGACCAGAATTGGGGAACCTGGGTTCAAATGGTGGCTGAACCACTGCATGGTTCTGTAACCTTGGGCAAGTGGCATCACCTCTCTGTGCCTCATTTCCTCAAACGGGAACAATAAAAGCACCAATCTTATGGGAACTTGATATGACAATTAAATCCATGTCAGCTGCATGGCACAGGGCCTAGCATGCAGTAAGTGCTCAGTAAATGTTACCATAGTTATAATTCATAGCCCGTGTGTCCGAGTTGTGCCCTCCCTTCTCTGTGCCTCAATGTCCCATTTGGAAAATGGGCTGATCTCCCAAGACTCTTTCATCCGGGACATTCTTGGATTTCCCCCAACCTCTGTGGGCTGGGAACCCCCCCCCCCAGCTGAGCACAGGACAAAGGGACGCACCTTCTTGTCCTTCTCCTTGGCCATATCCAGGGCCTCCTGAGCACGGCTCTGGGCCTGGCGTGCCCGCTCGGCCTCGTTGCGTAGCCCCCGCAGCTGCTGCTCTGCCGTGGCCAGCTGGGCCTCGGCCGCGTGCCGTTCACTCTTCATGAACAACGCCTCCCTCTGGACCTGCAGCCCAAGCCCATGTGTGGCCTGAGGACATGTGGATCCCAGATGCCTGGAACCCAGAGTCTTCTGACCCTTCTATTCTGGCCTGAGGACATTCAAGCCCATTTTGATCTTAAGGACTTTGACTCAGGAGAGTTTGGGTTCTTCCTGGGCACCAAGAACTTTCTGACACTGCCAGAGACTTCTGACCTGCTAGCTGTGTGGCCTTAGACAACTGACTTAAACTCTCTGTGTCTCAGTTTCTTCATACATAAAATATGGGTAATGACAGCCCCCACTTCAGAGAGTGATGACAGGGAGAAAATGAACAGATACAGGCCATCTGCTTAGAACAGGAAGTGCTATATTTGAGTCATTTTGCTGTCGACATTACTAATGCCCTTTTCGTGTTCCGTGTTGTAAAGCTTCATAGATTTCTCACAAAAGGAAAGAAATCAGAAGACTTTGGATGAAAAGCACAGTAATGTCCAAGCGATGACTGCATTTTCACAAAAATATCAAGATCAGAGCAATGTTAGCCTCACAAAAACGGATCTCGGGGTGAGGGCTGGGGGAACATCGCCCTTTATAGAAATAATAGCTCCAGGGGACCAAGGATAATAGGTAGAGGTTCTACTTAGCACAAAGTGGCTACACTTTACACTTAAAAAAGAAAAACCGACCACACTGATTGATGAAGCAAATCAGACTTATAAATTCTACCCCAAAAAGCAATGGTGGTGGGTGAGGCAGGTGAAATTAGGGAGTAGGGAGGCGGATGGACATAGTGAAGTTGGACTGTGGACTCTAGTAAGTAGATCACGAGTTTAACTGGTTTTAAAAGAGCGTTTTTGGGGCACCTGGGGGGCTCAGTCGGTTAAGCATCCAACTTCAGCTCAGGTCATGATCTCACGGTTCATGGGTTCAAGCCCCGCGTCGGGCTCTGTGCTGACAGCTCCGAGCCTGGAGCCTGCTCGGAATTCTGTGTCTCCCTCTCTCTCTGCCCCTCCCCTGCTTATGCTCTGTATCACTCTCTCTCTCAAAAAATAAACAAACATTTAAAAAATTTTAAAAAGCATTTTCTTGGAAAAATAATAATTCTGGCTACCATTTATTGATCTCTTATACAATCATATGTAGATTAAACTATTTAATTTTCATGTGAGGATTCAGAAGTGTTATGATCTGTGTTGTAGAGATGAGTGAGCAGAGCCATGGAGAGGAAAATGCTTTCCTGAAAGCAACTAGTGAATGTGGCTTCTAATACACATATTTTGTTATGATACCTACCAGTTTTTGGTTTTGCTTTTTAAAAGAAAAGATGGACTCAAACGTCCACCACCAGGGACCAAAAAATATTCCCTGGCCTTAAGAAAAGCAACAACTCAGGATCAAAATCTACTGGGGTCAAAATATCAGATTAAAAATCCCTGGGCAGGGGCGCCTGGGGGGCTCTGTTGGTTAAGCTTCTGATTCTTGATCTTGGCTCAGGTCATGATCTTGTGGTTTGTGAGTTCGAGCCCCACCTTGGGCTTTGCAGGGACACCACAGAGTCTGCTTGGGTTTCCTGCTCTCCCTCTCTCTGCCCCTCCCCCACTCACTCTCTTTGCCTCTCTCAAAATAAATAAATGAATTTAAAAAAAACTTCTGGGGGTGCCTGGGTGGCTTAGTCGGTTAAGCGTCCAACTTTGGCTTAGGTCATGATCTCGCGGTTCGTGGGTTCGAGCCCCGCGTCGGGCTCTGTGTTGACTGCCAGCTCGGAGCCTGGAGCCTGTTTCGGAGTCTGTGTCTCCCTCTCTCTCTGACCCTCCCCTGCTCACGCTGTCTCTCTCTCTCTCTCTCCTAGAAATAAATAAAACATTTTAAAAAAATTAAAAAAAAAAAACTTCTGGGCATAACATCCTCCTACTTTGGGGCTTAAGCATTGAAAATGATCATAAAATGATAACCTCTAAACGGCCAGCTGGAAGAACCACAGGACATTTTGGGCCAGCAGAGCAGATGGAGATCAGGGCAAAAAGCCCAATTCACTGGTTACAGAACAATGAGAGGGCGCTGCTCCCTGCCTCACACCATACACACAGTTCAAAGGTGAAGCGTATGCATGACTGTGGAGTTAAGGCAACCATGTTTCTGAGAGAAACTGTGACCTTGGGGAGCACAGAGGTTTTGTAAACAAACCATAGAAAGCCCGAACCATTAGAAAAATGATGGGGTCAGGGCACCTGGTGGCTCAGTCGGTTAAGCACCTGACTTCGGCTCAGGTCATGATCTCATAGTTCATGGGCTGGAGTCCTATGTGGAGCTCTCTGCTGTCAGTGCAAGCCTGCTTCAGGTCCTCTGCCCCTCCTCCCTTCCCTGCTTGTGCACGCACACGTTCTCTCTCTCAAATGTAAACACTAAAAAAAATTTTAATATTTTATTTATTTCTGAGAGAGAGACGCGTGAGCAGGGGAGGGTCAGAGAGAGGGAGACACAGACTGAAACAGGCTCCAGGCTCTGAGCTGTCAGCACAGAGCCCGACGCAGGGCTTGAACCCACAAACCGTGAGATCATGACCTGAGCCGAAGTCGGATGCTTAACCGACTGAGCCACCCAGGCGTCCCACAAATGTAAACATTTTTTTTTAATTTTAAAAAGAAAAAAAAAATTAAAGTAGAGAATGATGAGGTCAAAATGACCCAAAGATTTTTTAAAACGAAACACAAACTGAGCCGTCCACCTGGCTGAAGGGTCAGACATCCACCTGCAAACGCTGACGGGGTCAAGGGTGTGTAGGATCGAGACCGATGGGGCGGCCACACCGTGTGGCTGCAGGTTGGACCGCCAGGCCGGGCAGGCTGGTTGGGTGCCCGCGGGGGGGGGGGGGGGGGGGGGGGGCTGTGCAGCCAGCAGAACATGCCTCTGCCGCTCGTCCTGGAGGTGCCGGCGCGCACTCACCTGGAAGACCTCGGCGCTGGTTTTCTCGTGCCGACGTCCCAGCTCCTCCAGCTGCCCCTCCAGCCGCGCCACGTCGGCCTGCAACGCGCCCACTACGCNGTGTGGCTGCAGGTTGGACCGCCAGGCCGGGCAGGGGGGGGGGGGGGGGGGGGGGGGGGGGGGGGGGGGGGGGGGGGGGGGGGGGGGCTGGCCGTGGCCGTAGCCGTGGCCGTGGCCGCGGCCGCGCGCACTCACCTGGAAGACCTCGGCGCTGGTTTTCTCGTGCCGACGTCCCAGCTCCTCCAGCTGCCCCTCCAGCCGCGCCACGTCGGCCTGCAACGCGCCCACTACGCGCTCGTGCTCCAGGCGGGCCACGCTCCCCATGCGCTCCCGCTCCAGCTCGGCCCGCAGCCGGGCGGCCTCCTTGCCCGCGGCCACCACCTCCTGCTCCAGGCCGGCCGCCCGGCCCCGCAGCTCCAGGGCCTCCTCCTGCAGCCGGTGGTGCTCGGAGGCGGGCACGGCCGCCTGCCGCAGGGCCTCCGAGGCCTCCCGCAGCTCCGCCAGGCCCCGCCGGGCCTCCTCGCAGGCGGCCGCCAGCTCCGCGGCCCGGGCCTCGGCCGCGTCCCGCGCGCTGCCCAGCTCGGCCGCCAGCGCCCGCTGCTGCTCCCCGGCGGTCGCGGCGGCCGCCAGCTGCCCGCGCAGCGCCTCCAGCTCCCGGCTCTGCTCCAGCCGCACCTCCTCGCGCCGGGCCAGCTCTGCCCGCAGGCCGCGGGCTTCCTCCTCGGCCAGCAGGCGGCCGGCGCGGGCCTCGTCCAGCCAGGCCGAGGCCGCCTCCAGCTCCCGCAGCCGGGAGTCCCGGCCTCGGAGGTCCTCGCGGGCCTGCTCCAGGGCGGCCCGCAGCTGCCCCGCGTCGCCGCCGCCGCCGCCGCCGCCCGAGCCTCCGCACCCCTCGGCCTCGCGCACCCGCGCTCGGAGCCGGCCGGCCTCGGCCTCGGCCGCCTGGCGCTTGCCGTGGGCCGCCTCCAGCTCGGCGGCCGCCTCTCGCTCCCTTTGCCGCAGGGCCTCCTCCAAGCCACGGATCCTGGTCTCCAGCTCCGCCTGCAGCTGTTCCGAGGCCTCCGCAGCGCCAGGGTGCAGGACTGCGCCCGGGGGCCCCCTCGGGGCTGGGGCCCCCACTCCTGCGGCCTCCGGGGGCGTGGTCTCTGTGCCCCTAAGCTCAGCCTCCACACCACTCACTCCGTCGGCCTTCCTTTCTGGTTCTTCGGCTTTTGGCTTTGTGGCCTCTGTTTCTGGGTTTCCTCCCTCCTCCGGAGCCTCTGTTTCTGTGGCCTCGCCCCCCGTGGTTTTTGTTCTTGTGGCCTCGGCCCCTGTGGATTTTGTTTCTGTGGCCTCGGTGTCTGTGGGTGTTGTTCCTGTGGCCTCAGTGTCTGTGGGTGTTGTTTCTGTGGCCTCGGCCCCCGTGGATTTTGTTTCTGTGGCCTCGGCCCCCGTGGATGCTGCCTCCACAGTTTCATCTCCAGCAGCCTCCTCGTCTGTGTTCTCAGCTCCATTAACTTTGGTTCCTGGAGCCGTGGTGCCATTAAGCCCCATTTCTGTTGGCCCATCCCTGGTGGTCTTGACTCCCGTGCCCTTGCCCTCCCCAGAGGCCACCTCCTCTTCTCCAGGGGCCCCCCGTGCTTCCTGTCGCTCCAGTGCCCGCAGGGCTTCGGCGTGCTGCCTGCGAAGCTTGTCAAACTCAGCCCGGAGAGAGTCATAGAGGGCCAGGGGGATGACCTCGGCTGAGCCGTTTACCTCCATCTCATCCTTCTCAAAGCTCTCCAGGATCTGGGAGGTAGTAGCAGGGAGCTGGTGGGAGCTTGGGGCCATGGAGGCACGGAGTGGCCTCGCCACCTTCCCTGCTCACAGACTCAGCCACACACCGACACTGACCTCTCCCTCCCCTCCCCTGGGGAACAATCCCTCAGATCCTCAGATCTGTCCCTACCCCACCCTCCTGTGCCTCAGTTTCCCCACCTGGACCTTCTCCATGAGCTCCTGGTTCTGTCTGGTGAGCGCAGCCACTTGCTCCTGGAGGGAGGCCAGGAGCTCCCGGGCTGAGGAGCGTGGCCGTGTGGAGAGCAGAGCCTCGGCCCCTGGTGGGCACACAGAGTCAGCCCCGAGGGTCCCAGGCCACAGGGACGGGAACTGGGGTTCTGGAGTGGTGGGGGAGGGCTGACCTCCCTCCCAGCTTCAAACTCTCTCCATGCCTGTGGGTCAAGGCCCCCATTTCCCGGGGAACCCAGGGACAAGGTGGGCAGAGAGGGTGGACGGGGTGGGGGCTCACCTGGAAAGTCAGACAGTTCCCCCTCCTCATCCTGCAGAGTGGACACGTCATAGCTCGTGTTCTCCCGCTCATTCTGGGGGCGGGGGAACGGGGTCCAGCTCGGGTCCTGCCCCCTTCCCATCCCCAAGACTCCCCCCGCCCAATTCAGAGTGGACAGGGGCGTTCAGGTGTCTCCTCTGCTCCTCACAGGCATCAGACGGGCTGTATTTGGCCCACAGTGTTTACTCAGTGCCGACTGTGTGCGGTGGGGCTCTGCTGGGCCCCAGGAGCAGCAGTGAGCAGCCCCACCACTGCGACCATATTCCAGTGACTGGGGTTGTTATGTGCGGCCTGGGCGTGTGGGGCGTGTCTGTGATGCCACGCTGGGGTCACGTGTCTGCTCATGAGTCCCGGATCAGGCCACTCAGGGTCTGTGGGTCTGTGGTGAGCACGTGTGTGTGGCGTGCTCCCGTGTGAGCTCCTGGGACCATGTGTGATTTTGTGCTTGTTTTAGTCTGTTGTGTGTGTGTGTGTGTGACTGTTTCAACCTGTGTGTGCCTGTGTGTGTGAGCATGCTTACCTACATAGGTATGTTTGTGTACGAACTAGTTTGGGAACTACATGCACGTGTACACGTATTTGTGGCTGTGTCATCTGCATGTGATTGAATGAAAGCGTCTGCTGTGCATGCGCGAGTATATACATGCAGGGCCACGTGTGGGTGAGCGTGGTTGTTCATCTCTGTGTATACAGGCTACACGTGTTGAGAAGTGCCCATTTTGTGTACGTACGTGTGTCTGTGGGTGTGGGCATGTCGCCTGTGATGGCGCGTTTGTACCTTTGACTCTTGCATATGTGTTTGCGGCATGAGAGACCTGTGTGTATTGCTGTGGTTGCCATGTAGCTGCAGACGGGGAGAGGCCCCGCCCACCCCCAGCCGGCTAGAGCCCCGCCCGCTAGAGCCCCGCCCACCTCCAGCAGGGACAACCGGCTCTGCAAACTCTCCACCTCGCGTCCCAGGCTCTCCTTCTCTTCCTGCTTCTCCGCCAGCAGCTGCTGCAGCTCTTGTACCTGGAAGGAGGGCAGTGGGGGGCTGGGCCAGCCTCCCGGAGGAGTTGGGGGGCGGGCGGCTGACAGGGCTGGCTCTCCCCACAGCTCCCACCTACCTGTCTCTCCAGGCTGTGCAGGGAGCTGGCCTCTGCCTCTGGCAGCTGACGGGAAGAGGAGGGGACGGGGCTTGAATCTGGGTGGGGGGACCGCCCCTCTCCACCTTCTGCTTAGTAGCCCTTCATCGGACCACAGACACCCGCACGTCACCTCCCGCGCACCCAGCCCTGCTCTGCCCCCTGACTCGTTACAAAGTATTTATTCAGTGTCAGACCCTGTTGGGGCCGCTCCTTCATTCACCGCTTCACTCAAATATTCGCTCATCCAACAAACATTTATCAGTTGTCTTCTGTGAGCCCATCACGGTCATCCACGCCTATGCTCACCGGCATGTAGTCAAATGGGTGAACGTGAATAAAATCCACAGCATGTCCAATAGCAGTAAGCGCTTTGAGTAAAAATAAAGGGAACTCGGGGCGCCTGGGGGGTTGAGTCGTTTGAGCGTCCAACTCTTGGTTTTGGCTCAGGTCATGATCTCATGGTTTGTGGGATCGAGCCCTGTGTCGGGCTCTGCGGTGACAGTGAGGAGCCTGCTTGTGATTCTCTCCCTCTTTCTCTCCTCCTCCCTCACACATGCCCGCACTCATGCTCTTTTTCAAAATAAATAAATAAACATTTAAAAAAAGAGAGAAAGAAAAAAATGAAGGGAACTGGGAAGTGAGTCGGGGGTGTCACAATTTTATATAAGGTGGACAGGGAAGGTTTCTTTGGCAAGCGATTTCTGGACAAAGACCTAAAGGAAAAGAGGAAGGGAGCCAGAGGAGTTTCTGGAGGAAGAGTGTTCCAAGCAGAGGGCATAGTGCGTGCAAAGGTCCGGGGGCAAGACCAGGCCTGGCGTGTTGAAGGAGCAACAAGGAGGCCCGTGTGGCTGGAGCAGAGTGAGTGAGGGGGGAGAGAGGAAGGAGGCAGCCAGGAGAGATAGGGGGAGTCTTCCCCACAAAACTGCACTGCGCCCCAGGCTTCCCCCAGGCCTGTGCCTCTGGGGCCCCCACCTCCTGTTTCCTCCGTTCCTGGTGCTGCTCCAGGCCCCGGATCTTCTGCAGCAGCCGCCCCCTCTCCTGTCGCAGCCGCACGATCTCCTCATAGGCTTCGCGGTCATCCTGTTCCCCCAACGCGGGGACCCTTCACAGGAGGCCGAGGGGCTGTCCCCTCCCCTCCCTGAGCCAGACCGTGTCCCCGCCTGCCTGCCCCCTGTTCCTCCCCCACGGCCTCTCTCACCGGCACGGGGATGCTGGCGGGGGGCTGAGGCGCCTTCCGCTTCTTGGGAGCCCCTCGCTTTTCATGGCTGGACACAGAGTTCTGGGGGAAGGGGTGGAGGAAGCAGTGGGGGACCTGCCGGCCTCCCACCCAAATGCACCGGGCCGCCGTCAGCCTCAGCGCCTGCCCTCGCTTCCCGTGTGAGCCTGAGCTAGTCCCTGGGCCTCACTTATCCCGGCTTCAAAGGGGCATCTTTCCTGAAAGTTCCAGACCTTATGCTTTGCTCTCACCTTCTCTTTGTGCCTTGGTACCTGGTACTGGACCGAACTGTCTACAGGTTCCCCTTCCCTGTGGAGCCGAGATGCCGTAGGGCTGGGAGACAGAAAGAGCCCCGACCTGCCTCCTTCCCTGACGTCACCAGCCCTCAGCAGACTCGGTTCCCTCTACCACCCCAGCCCCCTGATTTGGGCCCCTCCCCCCAGTGTCCTCACCCAGTTCGGAGAGCTCGTAGATGCTGCTGTCACTTGGTGACAGCAGACCCTGAAAGTAGCCTTCGTCCCACACAGGTCTTCCTAGTCCCAGCCCTGGGACAGAACTCCATCTCTTCTTTCTCTCCCCATAAAGCGTGGGACACACGGGAAGGTGGCGTGCGCAGGGGAGGGGGCTCATTGGCTGCTTAGGGACCCGTACCTGAGATGATGCCTCGCCTGAGTCATCCTCTAGGAGGGCAGGGGAGAGAGGGAAGCAGGGTCAGGCACTCTGTCTTAGGGGCTCCATTCCCAGCCCAAGGAAGGGCGCTAGGGAGCCCGAGGGACTTAGGGCGGGGCGGGCTCCCACTCCCCAAGAATCAGGACTTTGAAAGTACGACTCGACTCCCTTTGCGGAGGCTGATAGGAGGGACCTTGAAACTCTCAACAGGGGAGGACAGGGGGACCTCCAGGTTGGGGCGCGTACAGGGTGCCCATTCTCAGGAAAGGCACATATCAGAGAGCGAGGATGACCCAGGCAAGCAGAATGGACCCCCAGGCTGTTCTAAAAGCTCCGGGGATCCTTGAAACTGTTCTGAGTAGCATCTGGGGAGATGTGCTTCTATGATGCAGTAAACAGGGGTACCTTGAAAGTTTCTCCGGCCGAGAAAGGGAAGAGGAGGAAGAGGTGATGGGGACGTGTTTGAAATCGCTTTGGCTGGCGAGGGGCGCTGAGCTGCCTCCTGCAGAAGGTGCAAGATGAGTTTGTCTCCGGCCAGGGCGCCGTAGTGAGCAGCATCCTGGCCCAGGGCGTCGGTGATGCCCGGCTGGGCCCCTCCCTGCAGAAGCACCTCCACCGTTTCGGGGCTGGCGCCCTCGCAGGCCAGCATCAGGGCTGTCCTACCAGGAGAGGGCGCTGCTGAGGGAGTGAGGACATTCCCAACCCCCCAGGCCCTCCTCCAGACCCAGGCTGCGTTGGGGGGGTGGGGGGGGAAGACGCAACAAGATCCCCCCCAGGCTTGCCCAAGGTCACACAGCATACAAAGGGCTAATTAGGATGGAAGATACTCACCTGCCCTGCAGGTCCTGGTCATTTGCGGCAGCCCCCTGCTGCAGAAGGAGGCGGCACAGATCTGTGTGACACATCTGAGCGGCTATGATAAGGGGCGTCGTACCTGACTGGTGGGAATTCCGGGGAAGGAGGAAACAAAATATGAGAGAGGCTGACCTTGGGAGGCAGGCAAACCTCTGTGACTGCCCCCGAACTTCACTCCAGACCTTTTTACACTTTTTAAAGGGTGCCCGGGACGCTGCCACTTGGTGACAGTGTGGCTCAAGGACAGTATCGTTCCCCAAAAGGTCCCAGACGCTCACCCGATCTCGGGGATTCAGATGTGCCTTGAAGGAGCAAAGCACTTCTGAGCAGGAAAGGCACCCACCGGCCGCTGGAAAAAGAGGGGGGGGGTAGGGCAAGGTTCAGATGTTTTCCGGCCTTCTGCCTCGTGTGATTCTTACCCCTCATTTCATGAGAAGTTCCTACCTTCCCTGGGAGGCAATAGCAAAGGTATGACTCCCTATTTTACAGAAGAGGAAACTGAGGGCCACCCGGGTCCGTGGTCAGCCAGCAGGGTAAGAGCCAGCGCCAGGATGAGGCCTGCTAACTCCCTGTCCCGAGTCCTTTCCACGGTCCACCACGGCTCTCTTTTAAGGTGGACGTTTTGGCTAATTTTTCTGCATCTCCTCTCTCTGCTTTAGGCAGCGTTTTATGCCTCCCATGGACCAAACGTCAGAGACGGTTAATGTTTCCTGGAGGGATCAGACGTCAGCCGGGACTGGGCGCCCTTCTCGGGGGGTTGATCTGAGTTCTGAGTCTTGAAGGTGAAAAGGAGGAGGGTAGCGGTTTCTGAGGAGGCAAGAGCCGTGAAGCGAGGAAGCCTGGTAAGGTCAAGGAAGGGGGAGGCTGGGGGAGGCTGTGTGTATGTCCAGAGCCTCAAAGAAGGAAGGGAGGGTTTCATGCCGTCACTGGAAACGTCAACAAGCTCTATCTGATTACCTGCCGTGTGCTCGAGGGGGTGCGGCATTTGGTTTCCTGCTGCAATCGCAGTGCTTACAACAGAGTCCCATACAGGGCAGGGACTTAATAAAGATTTACTGAATGAAGCGCCCCGGTGAGCTTCCAGAGTCTGGCCACTAGGTGGCAGCACACTCCAACTGCCGGGAAGTTCTACTCGGCGGTTAAAACCCCCCAAGCAAATCCAAATTTATTCTGTGTTCCCAAAACGTCACACATTTCTTGAGTCATTAGTGAAAGTCATTCCCTGATCTCATGGGCATGGTGGACGGATGCTGGGTTGGATTCTGGTTCAGGCGGGCGGGTCTCTTGACCTCCCTCAGGAAGGAGTTTGGATCCAGTGATTATGAAGGATGGATCTCTGGCCTTCCTGAGGCCGCACTCTGGTCACTGCCCTTCCCACCGCCGTCGTTCTCACCCAGGCCTGGTACTAGGGGGTCACACAGCCTGAGTCCTCCCCACTTTCTCGTGGGTGAACCTCGATCGGCTTGCCTGTCCAATGGGGTGCCCGTCCGGGGCTCCAAGTGTTGGTGAGGATTAATGCTGAGCCCCAGGGACGTGCACACAGCAGGTACTCGGCGAGGAAAAAGGAGGAAGGAGGCAGAAGCTCATGGTCAGTCCCCCAGGACCCGGGGTAGCATAATCCCAAGCCCAGCACCCTCTGGGTCATGGTGGGCAGGGCGAGGCTGGGCAGCACCCACCTGCATGATGCAAGGCTGTCCACCCACTGCTGTCCACGATATCCACCACGCAGGACGCCTGGGGAGGGAGGCGTGTGGGTCGTCGAGGCTCTCCAGGAACTGGGACCTGCCCCTTGAGCTCTGCTGGATTTCAGGGCCCCTGCCTAACCCTCTCTTCCCTCCCCCATGCCTGCTCCGCGGAGCCCGTCTCCTCATGGAACTCCCAAGGGGCTCTCTCGGCTTTCATGAAAACTGGTGACAAGAAGGGCATCACTGGGAGCTCAGGAGCAGCTGGGGGCTTGGGGGCTGGACGAGAGCTCCGAGAGTGGCTGCAGCTCAGGAACTACCTAGGGTTTGGGGAGAGGCTGGGGCTCAGGAGATCCCTGGTCTTGGGAGTATCTTGGGTGTGTGAAGTATCTGGACACTCAGGGAGTCGCTGGTTGTCCAGGGAGTAGCTGGGGCTCAGGAGTAAAGGAGGCTAAGACCTACCCAGGATTCAGGGGGTGTCTGATAGGGGCGGGGGTTGCCGTTCAGGGAACTGCGAGAACTCAGGGGTAGTCAGGGGAAGGGAGTATCTCAGGTCAGGGGAGTATCTGACACAAGGAAGTGAATGACCTGCAGCAGCTGCGTCAAGCACTGTGGGTGCCCATACTTGGCCGCCAGGTGGAGGGCATTGTAACCTGAAAGGCAAGGAGGGTTTGCTGGGGTTCCACATCTTCAAGGAGCTTCTGGCTGCTCCCCAAATCTGTGTCAGCTATTTGCGATGAGTTTCTCCCCAACCCCCAGGTGCTTCTCCCTGTAGCCGGAGACTCTCCAGGCCCCAGGTAGTCTGTATCCCAGACATTCTCATCTCAAGTACGCTCCACACCCTCCCCTTCTCAGGCCCCACGACCCAGCCACTCCCCACGCCCCCAGCCACTCTCCAGGCCCCCAGCCACTCTCCAAGCTCAACGTCACTGCCGCTCCAGTAATGCCCCTCAGAATCCGTTGGTCCTGTATGCCCTTGCGAATCCATAAGCCCTTGCCATTCCACAGGCTACCAATTCCCCTGTCGTCGATACGAACCCCCAGCTGCGCCACACACCCTGGCTCCTATGCCTCCTACGATGCCCCAGAGTTTCAGCCAGGGCTGTGCCCCACCCCTCGTTCGTTTACCTCCTGAGCCCCAACTGTTCCCTTTGGCCACGCATTCTATCTCAGACATCCCTTCAGAGCCCTACCCCTAAACCCCAACTACCTCCCCCCCAATTCCACTTGTTATTCTCCCGCCCCCAGGTACTTCGCACGCTCAGGTAATCCTCTGTTCCAGCTACTCCCTCTGACTTAACCACTACCTGAGTCCTGGCCACTGCCCGCCCACAGGCTGTCCACTCACCTTGCTTGGTGCCACAGCACAGCCTTTGTTCTTGCGCACTGCGGCCTGACATGTCCCTGTGCCTCCCTGGGGGGCACCGAAAGCAACCCCTGCTTCTTCAGCAGGTCGCTGAAGCCATGGAGCGGGGCCTGACGGGACGTGCAGGCTGAGCCCCTGGTCTCACTTCCTCCCCCCTCCCCTAGGGCCCAGCAGGCAGTACCTGCCCCATCGGTGCTCATGACATTGGCGCCCTGTGCCAGCATCACCTCCAGGCAGCTGGCTGCACCCCTCATGGCAGCCAGGTGGAATCTGGAGGTCAGAGGCCAGGGGTCAGCTGCAGGAAGGCCACCCCTCGTCCCTCAGCCTCCCAGGGCGGGGCACTCACGCGGACTTGCCCTCGGGGTCCAGCTTGGTGGGCACCAGCCCCTTGCGGGTGATGAGAGTGGCCACGCGTGCTGCGTCGTTGTTCTCCACGGCCTGGAGCAGTCGCTCGTCACTTTTGCCCCACTCCTGGCTCTGCAGGGCGCACCCAGAGGAGAGTGGGGCCAGGTGATCACTGCCCCCTCCCTCCTCCCCCTGGCTGGGGCTCCAGGCTTCACTGCCCGCCCTTGGGCACTTGCCTGGCGCCTGCCTCTGGCTGCCGGCTTCGGGATGGGGCAGGGGCCGCGAGGCGGGCAGGAGCCGAGGTCAGTGGGGCTGAGCCACAGCTGCAGGGGGAGGTAGTCCTGGGCAGGGGTCTGAGACGGCCTTGCCCAGCCTACATCCCCAGCGTCTGCTCCCAGGTCCATACAACACCCACTACATGACTGTCCCATTAAATTCTCCCCGGATCAGCCCCCAGCATCTTCCCAGAAATTGTCCCCAGCCAGCCCTTCAGTGAAAGCCACCTTTCCAAACATCACCCCCATCTCCAATACCTTCCCGTGGGAACCCCTAAGTGGGTTCCTTTAAATGTCTCCAGGACCATCGTCATCTATCCTTCTTAAACTGTCCCTGAAATGCCACACTTGTCCCCCAAATGTCCCAAGATCTGTTCTCCAAGAAACCTCAGCGTGAAATGCATTCCAAAATGTCTTCCCCAAATTCCTGAAATTTCTCCAAATTCGTCCCCCCAAATGACCCCAACAAGTCCTAAAAATGTCCTTCCAAAAAAAAAAAATAAATCCCTGAATGTTCTCCGAGGTTACTCTCCAAATGTCAATATATTTCCCGAAAACCGTTCCTTAACATTATCCTCTCAAACGAACCCACCCAAAACTGGTCCCCGAAACCGTCCCGCCAAACGCCCTCTAAATTTTCCAGGGTCCCCTTCTGTTCTCAGAGCTGCCTCCGCAAACATGCCCAAGTCTCCTCAGATGTCCAGCCCGCAGCCTCTGCCCCCTGCCCTCACTGCCGGTCCGTCCCCGGGTCCGGGGGCGGGGGTCCAGGCCTGGCCCAGCCAGGGGCGGGGAGGGGCGGGGCAGGGAGGGGAGAGCAAGGCCCCGAGCCCCGCCCGCTCCCGCGCCCCCTCCCCTGGCCCTACCGCGCAGGAGGCGGTGGCGCACACGCACAGCTGCTTCATGGCGGCCAGGGCGCCAGGTGCCCGGCTCGGTGCTCCGGGAGGCCCCCGGGCCGGGGGGGGTGGGGAGGGGGGCCCGGAGGGAGGGGCAGGGGCGCCCGCGGGAGGGGCCGGAGGTGGCCGGAGGGAGGGGCGGGAGGGAGCTGGGGGAAGGGCCAGGAGGGACCCGGAGGGAAGGGCTGGAGGGGGTCGGAGGGAGGGGCTGGAGGGAAGCACTGGGAGAGGCTGGGGGCGGGGCTAGAGGGGGCCTGAGGGCGGGGCAGGGGCGCCGGGGTCCCGGGTCCCGAGGGAGCCGGAGATGGGGCTGAAGGGGTCGAAGGCAGGGGGCCTGGAGGGACCCGGAGGGAAGGGCTGGAGGGGGGCGGGGCGGGGCGGGGCTGGAGGGACTCGGAAGGAGGGGTTGGGGGGCCGGGGGCGGGGCTGGGGAAGGGGCGGGAGGACCCGGAGGGATGGCCTGGAGGGACCCGGAGGGGGTCGGGGGCGGGGCTGGAGGGACCCGGAGGGAGGGGCTGGTGGGGGTCGGGGGCGGGGCGGGAGGGGCGGGGCAGAGGGCTTCGGTGGGCGGGGATGGGCGGGTCGAAGGGGAGAGGCCGGAGGGGCCTGGGGGCGGGGCTTGTAGGGGCGAGGGCCCGGAGGCCCCGCCCCCAGGGCCGGGGTCGTGCCGGCGAGGGGAGGGGCTCTGGGGGCGGAGTGCGGCCCGGGCGCTACCTGACTTTCCTGCGGGGAGGCGGGTGCGGCGAACGGGGCCCGCCCGCCCCTCCCCCGCGGGCTGCGCACTGGGTCTCCGGGGATCCGCCTGCGTCGTCTGCGCCTCGGCTGGGCTGGTGCGGGTCGCAGGTGCCTGCGGGCCTCCGCCCTCTCGGCGGACACAGCCTCCCCCTGCCGCCGCGCCATCATTCCTTCCCTCTCGCACCAGTGGGACCCGGCGGTCTGACGAACTCGAGTTTGAATCCAGGGCCCTGCACCCCGACCCCCCACATTTACCGCCTACACGACCCAGCCAGGGTACTTGCTTACCTGCTTTGGACTTCACCTTCCTCATCTGGAAAATGGGGTTCAAAACAAACAGTAGCTACCGCGCGCAGAGTGTTTTCCAGAGGACTAACGGCATAACTACGTGAAGCCCTCCCCGGTGCCCGGTACATAGTAAGTGCTCAATAAACACGGACTCATTCACCAAAGATGTGCTTCAGCCCATGTGCACAGCTCATGCTGGATCCTGGGGACACCGGCCGTAGATGCACACGGCTCCTCCAAGGGGCTGGTGGGGTCTGTTCGCGGGTGTTTTTCTCAGACTGGGAGCCCCCTGACCGCAGGGCCAGGCTGAGGCCTTCCTGGCACAGACCTGGCGCCCCAGGGTGGGGTGCGAGAGTCGATAAATGTTTGTTGAGTGAATGAACGACTCACAAGGCCAGGCGCTCTGAGCCACGTGCATTTCATTTACTGACTCCATTTGTCCTCCCGGGGGATGCCCCGCGGTGACGAGACAATGTCCCCGCTATCACCGGGGTCCCCGGGGAGACATGTACACCCATGGATTGCTGACCCAGGGTGATCGGGCTGTGACGGGGGCAGCCCAGGCCAGCTGGGAGCTCAGAGAGGACTCCTGACACTGGGTAGTCTGGGAGGGCTTCCCAGAAGAGAGGGCATCTGCGTTGAAACTTGGAGGATGGGCAGGAGTTGGGGGGGAGGGGTTGCAGGGACAAGATCGTGTTCAGGAGAAACTGAAATTATCGCTCGCCCCAACCAGCCCCGTTACCTGTGCCCTGATCCAGGACCAGGTGGATGGGGGTCGTAACTTAAGGGTAGGGCAGAGGAAGAGGTGTGTCCCCAGAAGGAGCGGGGAACCAGGAATGTGGGACATGAGGGGGGCCCAATAAACGTTCCAAAAGGCAGGATGTTGTGGCTGCAGATTCCCAAAGGGGCCAGCAGAGGTGGGGGTGGAGGAGGACACAGGGATGAGGGGAGAGAGCAGGGAGGAGTACAGACATGGCCTTCCGGAACTTGAGTTTAGCGGCAGTGGCTGCAGACAGGAGGAGGGGGCCTGACTCCAGCTGGGTCTGTTCTGCACGCTGTGTGGCTTTGGGCTAGTCACGCCCCTTCTCTGGGGCTCAATTCCCCAACCGCTCAACGGGGCAGATAACTCAACAGACAGCGTAAAGCCGGGCTCCTCCACTGAGGCACTGCGGACATTTGGGGCCAGATTGGGACCAGATCGTTCCCTGCTGGGGGGCTGCATGGGTACTGGGGGGGTGCTGAGCAGCATCCCTGGCCCCCACCCACTTGATGCCAGGAGTACCCCCAGTGTGACAACCACAGATGTCCCCAGACATGGCTCGGGCTCCTGGGAGGCAAGATCTGCCTGTGATTCTTCTTGGACACCTTTGAGCAGGAGGAAGGAGAGGTGAGGCAGGGAAATGGAGAGTTCGGTACTAAGCAGTTGGGGAGGGGTGGGTGTTGAGGGCTCCCGCCCCTCACACCCAGAGGCAGAGTGCCCCTCTCGGGCGCGCCCACAGAGGAGACCGAAATGCATCTCCCGGCTCAGGCCTCGGATCTCCAAGTGCCTTGCTCTGGATTCTGTGCAAGCTCACGCAGACACCCCTCGAAAGCCCCCGAAGCGCATGTGGGCACCACCATCCCCCCAGGGGGCCGGGCCAAGTCTTGACATCACCACCCTCCTCTCTCTCACGCCGCGCCCGGCCCACCAGCCAACCCTGCAAACTCCATCCACGTACCCCGGCTTGCCTGTGGTCCAGCCCCATCACCGCGGGCTCCATCTCCGGGTGCCTCCTCCCTGGTCTCCTGGCTTCTGCCCTTGGCTCCCACCTTCCTTCTGCCCAGCAGCCTCCACAGCCTCACTCAGCGTAAAATCCGGACTGCTCCGGGGCCCACAGGTTCTACAGAAACTGGTCCCCGGGACCACATCCCACTCCGCCCCCTCCCTGGCTTCACGTAGCTTAAGAGCTAAGAATGGTTTTTACACTTATATAAGTCGTTGGGGGGGGGGCGATCAAAAGGAGAGCAATATCTTTGATGGGAGGTATGACAATGACATGAAATCCACATTTCATGTCCGTAAATAACGTTTCAGCGGGACGGAGCCCTTGGCAGAATTGAGGTCTGAGGGCCCTTGGTGACAAAAATATTACCGCCTGGCCCTTCACGGGGACAGTCTGCCCACCCCTGCTCTACACGGTAGCCCCAACTTCCTGAGCTCATCTCCCCTACGGGTCCCCTGGTCGGACCCTTCACGGTGGCCTCCTTCCTAGCCCTGGCCTGGACTCCCACGGCGCCCTCTGCCTAGAGCATCCCCCTCCCCCAATGTCTACAAGGCTGTGCCCCTCCTATGGGCTACACTGGACGTCACCCGAAGAGGGTTTATTAGCAGGGTTTTTCTCCCCCGTTCTTACGAGCGGATGCCACACTGTGTATCCTCCCGATACGTTGCTTCCCCTCGATCTCTGCCCCCCCAAGGATGTCAGCTCTGCACGGGCAGGAATTTTGTCCCCCCCCCCCCCCCGCCAGGCACTCCTGAATCCGCAGCGGACACCGGGTGCAGACTTTGCGGGGCCCCGTGCAGGATGACAGTGCTGGGCGACCTGTTCAGAAATTATTAGGAATTTCCAGATGGTGAGAAGAGAGCATGAAACCAAACTGGGGCCCTTCCGAGTGAGGGTCTGCGAAGCTGCGGATCTCCCGCACCCACAACAGGGCCTGGCACGTAGCACGTGCCCACTCAGTGTCTGTTGAAGGAATTAAAGCAATAGTGACTCTGGAGAATGAAAATGAGGGACAGACTTTCCAAGAAGCACTGAGGAACTGGGACTCCGTGGGTCTCTAAAAACTCCCATCTTCTTGCTTGTGAGGTTTTTCTAAAACTTGAAATAATGGAGAGGCGGGGGTGGGAGGGGGGAGCCCAGGACTAGGCTCACGGCTCCAGTTAAATCCCATCTTACAGATAGAAAAACTGAGGCCCCGAAGGGTTCCAAGAAGGCTCAGAGCAGGTACCACGATGTGTTGGGGACTTGAAGAAAAGGCTGGTATTAAAGGAGCAGAAGGGGGGGGGGCCTGGGGGGCCTGTCAGCTGAGCATCAGCCTTCCACTCGGGTCATGATCTCGCGGTTCATGAGTTCGGGCCCCGCATCGGGCTCTGTGCTGACAGCAGTATAGTCCGCTTGGGCTCCTCTGTCCCCCACTCTCTGCCCCTCCCCTGCGCACCGTTGCACTGGGGCGGGGGGGGGGGGCGCTCTCTCTCTCTCAAAAATAAACATTAAAAAGAAAAAGAAGCAGAAAGGAGCGGGGAAGGACTGAGCAAGGGTGTGGTGGCTGGACTGTGTGCTGAGAATTGGGAAGGCCAAGTCCCGAGAGAGACACGGGGGGAGGGGGAGGGGTGTCTGTCTGTCTGCAGTCACGAAGTCACGGTGTTTTCTTTCTTCCCTTGGGGGAGGGGGAGCGGACAGAACAAAACCGGAACCTGACTCCTGCCCAGAAACTGGAGCCGCAGGGGGAGGGAGGGACAGTGAGATGCCGGATGGGGGTACGGAGCACAAGCCTCTCCCCCTTCTGCCCCCTGAGCCCCCAGGCCTCTCTCCCCAGCCTCCTCCCTGCCTCCCAGACACCCCAGACACCCCTGTGTGCCCTCCACCCCTCACCCCCATACCTGTGTGAGACGCCTAACACACCCACGTCCCAAATTAGGAGTCTGGGTTTTTTTTTTTAGCTGCACAGGTTTTGAAGGATTTGACTTCAATATTTGAAATTAAACAATTATACGGTTTGGTTCACCACCGGCTACAACATTTCAGGAGTTCTTGGGTGGGGAAGGGGGAACAGTCCAACTTAGGAACTGATTCCAAACAGGCTGAAGAATTTTAGGATCCTTCCAGAATGAATGAAACTGACTCGGTGTCACATTTGATGGGAGTTGACCACCATTTATTCCTGACTCTGTGTCTCTATCTCTGTCTCTGTGTCTCCCTCTCCCTACCTCTCTCTTTTCAGTCGACAGACTACCCCGACCTGGCGGAAGTGTGGTGTCTCACTTCCTAGCTGTGTGACCTTGGGCAACTTCCTTAACCTCTCTGGGCCTCCTCTCCTCACCTCACCTATAAAGTGGGATAATAAAAGCTCCTACCCCATAGGATTTAAATTAAAATACGTAAAAGGAAAAGGGACGTTAAGCTTAATCACTAACGGAAATAAATAAGGTGAGTTGGGAAAACGGAGGGGCCACAGGGGGCTGGTGACAGACACTCGCAGCCACCCAGCTGGCCGGGCAGCACCCGCTGGCCTGTGTCTCTGCTCCCCGCCCCAGCCACAGGCACCTGCTGTCATCCCCTGATGCCCTGAATCATCCAGGCCCGGCCCAGCCTCCCAATCTTTGCCCGCACTGGCCCCTGTCCCTTCCTGGTGTCCCTTCACTCATCTGAGTCTTCCCTGTCTTCCCAGGCTCTGCTCCAGCGCTGTCTGGTTGTGGGGGCCACGCCTGCCACATGGGGAGGGTCCGCCACATGGTGGGTGGAAAGACCAAGGGAGGCTCCAGGCGGGGGGCGGGGGGGCAGCGGGGTCTGAATCTCGCCATCGGCCCTCTGCTCCGTGGCTGGGCGAGGCGACTTAACCTCTCCAGAATTTGGTTTGTGTGAAGTCAAGCCTGACCCAGGCCAGGCACAAAAGGGTGCCTAGATTCTCTGATCTGTGCCCTGGACAAGCCCCCACACTGGCAGGGACTTGGAGGGGGTACGACGGAAGGAGGAACATCTCTCCAGGGGAGTTCACAGTCCAAGGAATGGCTGCAGGGGAAGCCAGCTCCCACCCACCTCAGGGCCTTTGCACTGGCTGTCTCCTCTGCCTGGGATGCATTTCTTGAAACACACACACACACACACAACCCCCTCCCTCTTTCCCTTCTAATCTTTGCTCTCAATCAGCTCCTTGGTGAGGCCTTTCTTGACAACTTGCTTAAAAACCGCAGCCATCTCCCCTGCCCTAGATGCTCCGATTCCCCTGCCTTCCGTCCTCGGTCTCCGTGGTCCCAAACATGCCTTTTCGTTGTTTACCTGGTTTAGCACTCATCACCCCCCACTCAGCTGTCCGCTCCGAGGGGGCAGGGATCTCCTCACTGGCTACCACAGCGCCTGATACAAGCATTCGCTGCATGAACCCTCAAAAGCAGGAGATAAGGGTCCCCCAGGAAAGTGAGTCCCCAGAAAAGCCAGCGGCCACTGGAGCTTCTTCGGGATGAACAAGTGTGACTGAAGCCGAACGGTGGGGTCTGCGGAGGGGCTGCGGGCAGCAGTGCGGGACAGGGCTTCCCGTGCAGAGGGTGGCGGGGGCGGGGGGGGGGGGGCTGGAAACTGAACAGCAGGGGGCAGTAGACAGGACTGGGAGGAGAGGGGACAGGAGCCACAGGGGTAGACTCGAACCTGTGGGGGCTGAGGAACCACAGGAGGGTTCTTTTTTTTTTTTTTAATGTTTTATTTATTTCTAGGAGAGAGAGAGAGAGACAGCGTGAGCAGGGGAGGGTCAGAGAGAGAGGGAGTGACAGACTCCGAAACAGGCTCCGGGCTCTGAGCTGGCGGTCAGCACAGAGCCCGACGCAGGGCTCGAACCCACGAACCGCGAGATCATGACCTAAGCGAAAGTCGGACGCTCAACAACTAAGCCACCCAGGCGCCCCAGGAGGGTTCTGAACAGGGAGGCTGCGCCTGGTCCCTACTGAAGCCGCCAGAAGGATGGGGGGAGGGGCGGAAGACAATGCTCCAAAGGCCCTGGGGCTCCTCAGCCAGGCCTGGGGCACAGGGGCCTGAAGATGGGGACACTGAGCATCTCCGCGGCCTCAGACTCACCTCTGTCTTTTTAAATCGTGCCCGCAGGGTCTTCATGGCCGGCGTCTGGCGTTTCTCCGCAACCCAGGCCACCTGGGGAAGCACCAGAGTGGGTGGGGATGAGGGACCTGGTGAGCAGGAGGTCCTGCCTCCCCCTCCTCAGAAGGACAGCTTCCTCTTCCCTGGGCCATCTCGACCCTACAGCAGGACACAGACACAGGAGGCCCCGGCGCCTAACTGCTGTGTGTCCTTGGCAGGCCTCTTGCCTTCTCTGAGTTCCGCTTTCCTCATCCTTAAAAAGACAGGGGATGATCCCCTCTTGACCACCTTGTGGTCAGTTTTCAGTGAAGTCCTTAGCATACAGTAGGTGCTCGATAAGTGCACCTGCCAAAGCAGATAAAGCTTTCTCTGGTCTCTGAGCTCTCATCTGTGCAGTTATTTCTGCACAGCGTGCCTGCTTTTCCCCATCTTCTCTGGCAAACTCCTATTTACCCTTCACAGCCCGTTTCCAAAATCCCGTGTTCTGATGAGCTTTGCCTGTTGCCCACAGGCTGAACTCCCTAAGCTGGGTTCCCCTCCCCCTAGCTGGGCTCCTGCCCCTGCCCCAGCCCTGGCTTGGGAGGCTGGCAAGTGTGTGGGCTGGTTCCGGCCAGGCCCAGAGCTGAGGCCTCTTAGCACAAAGGCTTGTTTCTTGGATGATCAGAAAGCATCTTTGCAGCCAAGTCTAGGGATTCCTTCCTTTTTTGAGTGGAATTTCTTTTTTTAAGTTTATTTATTTGGAGAGAGAGGAGAGAGAGAAAGAGAATCCTAAGCAGGCTCCGCGCTGCCAGCGTGCACCCCGACGCAGGGCCTGATCCCATGAACCGTGAGATCACGACCTGAGCCAAAATCACGAGTCGGACACTTAACTGAACCGCCCAGCCGCCCCGAGCGGGATTTCCGTGAAGGCGTGGCCGTCGCCTGTCCATCCTGCCCGTGAATTCTGGAAGCCATCCTTACCCCTGCCTACTCACCCATCCGTCCCCCCCGCACCCACTGTCCTACCTGAGCACCTCATCCACCCACTGGGTCTGCCCACCGACTCACCTTCGCCTGGGTTTTCATGTGCCCTCCAACCATGCTTCATCCCCCCCCCTCCCCATCCATCCACCGAGCCACCTGCCTACACACCCAACGCCCACCCGCCCACCCTACGGTGCATTCAGCCATCACTCTTCCATCTACCCGCCTGCCACCCACCCATTCATTCACCCACCCCTCCGCCAATCAACCTACCACTCAGCACTCACTCTATGTCTTCTGCTCTGTCCCCAGCACACCTAGATCAGGGTGCAATAAGACACCCAACAGGAGCCCGCAGTTGCCAGGGCAGGAGGGAACCCATGGCGAGGGGGGGGGGAGTGGCTTTCTGGGAGAAGGGATGATGCGTAAAGCAGGACCCAGTGGCCAGGCAGGACGCTGAGCAGGGTGGCAGCACTTAAAGAAGGTATGTGCCCCAGACAGTGCAAAGGCTGGGAGGTGGTGTGCGTGCGTGCGTGCGTGTGTGTGCGTGCGTGTGTCAGGGTGCCTGGGTAGCCCGTCAGCATAGCTAGGACACACACAGGCCTCTCCTTTCCCCCGCGCACCAGGGCTCAGAGGCAAGGGGCTGAGGCCCTAAGGGGGCTCTCCATCCCAGGCTTCCCTCACTGCCTGTCTCCCACCTCCTGTAACGCCAGTGACTCCAGCACCGGCCTCCGCGCCCACTGCGGGCTCCAGTTACCTGCTCCCAGCCGGGCCACCAGCTCACACCAGCAGCTCCAAGTGCTCCGCTCTGACACCCGATCAGCTCTGAGGGCAGCCGCCCCAGGGGGCCGGGGATGAACAGAGGGAGGAGACAAGCTGGCTGCGGGGCTGCCTGCTGGCCAACGGGCCCAGGCGGGGAAGACACCAAGCGCTCTCCCACCACCCTCCACCTGTCCTTTGTCCTTGCTGTTTCTTCACTAGGAGCGCCCTCCTTGTACCCCATGTCACTCCCAACCGGCTCACTCTCCCCATCTCATTCCTTCTCACTCCGGATCTTTGCTGCAACACCTCTTCCTCCAGGAAGCCTTCCTGGACGCACACCCAGGCTGGGTCCAGGGCCTCCTCTGAGCTCTCGTATGGCCCGGGGCCCTCATGACACCTTAACCACACCGGCACCATTGCCCGGCCACTTGTGTCCATCCTCGCCACAAGGTGCCGCCTATGTTCTCCAGTGTTTCTCGGGCACCCAGTAGGTGCTCAATACGTGTTGCTTAAATGCATCCTCAAGGCCACCAGCCCCAGTGTTCTCTCTCTAGCGGTGCATCACTCGGGCTGTCATCAGCCTGATGTCATCCACCTGAATAACGTTCGGGTAATTCAGAGCGGCGTCCAAGGCCCTCCCCGCACGGGCCCCCAGTGCTCCCTGCACACAAACGCAGGGTATTCGTGACTTTGTAAACTTCTGAAATGTGCAGCAGAAAGAGCCTTGACTGGAAGCATCAGCCCTCCGTCCTCCCGAGAGGCGTGGGGACCTCAATTTACTCATTTGCAAAAAGAAGAAAGGGGAGCACTGGCCGCTTGCCCCCCTCGCTTTAGGGGTGACTGCAGAGCTCTCACGTGGACGGACGGCCCCGTCTCCCGCTCCCTAAGAACAGCTCGAAGGAACCGGGCTCCTCTTCGCCACCAGTTGAGATGGCGGCCGCGGCGTCAACGCGAGGCGCACGCGCCCTGGAGGGAGAGGCTGGACGCGCAGGGCGGAACGCGGCTCCTCCCTCTCCGTCCTGCCCCGTTTCCGGCGGAAGCGGCCTCAACAAGAGAAACTTTATTGTTCCCGTCGGGGCGGCGAGGATGTCGGTGAATTACGCGGCGGGACTGTCGCCGTACGCGGACAAGGGCAAGTGTGGCCTCCCCGAGGTGAGAGCGGCCCCGCGTCCCGAAGGCCGCCCCCAGCGCCGCGGGCTGGGCGGGGCCGGGCAGCAGCGGGGCATTGTGGGAATATCGGGAGGCACGGAGGCTAGACAATGGGAGGGACTTCCCGGTGGGGAGGGGGCGGGAAGTGACGCCCCCTGCGCTCCTGGGCACTGGAACCCCCCGACCCCCCCAGCCCCGGGTCGGCCCGGCTGGATAGAGGGAGGGGCCCGCGGCGGTGGAAAGTCCTGAAGTTCTGCTGGGGGAAGCCAGGGACAGAGTTGCAGGCGGAAGGCACCGCAGAGGCAAAGGCGAGGGGATGGAAATCCACACGCGTGGGGAGCAAACAAGGCCCGAGAGGTTTCCGGGGCCAGGACCGGCGGGGCCTCACACGCCGGGCGGGGGAGCCGACACTTTATCCTGGGGGTGATGGAGAAGGGTTCTGGGTGTGATGGACGTAGGTACGTGTCAGAAAGACCCCTCCCACTGTAGGACTTGGGGTGAGTCACTTCCCTTCTGGGTCGCTTCTCCCTTTCTGTAAACTGGGGGGGGAGGGGGGGGAGATTGACACCATCCCCTGAAGGCTGGTCTGTCCCTTCCGACTGAGGTATTTAACATGAGCCCTCAGAATCCTTCCGGAAGCCCCTCTTCCCTTCCTGCCTGTTTATTCGCTGGATTCCGCAAACATTTATGGAGCGCCTACTGTGCACCCGGCACTTCCTAGGCCCTGGGGCCGCAGGAGGGAAGGAGACAGACACCACGCCCTCGTTCTAGAGGGGACACAGACAAAGGGGAGTAGATATAAGAAGTCGGATGATAGTCGGCCTCAGGGAGACCAGTAAGGCCGGGAGCCCTGGGGCTGCATCCAAACCAGCGCCCAGGAGGCATCCCTGAGATGACTTTGGTTTTTTCAAAACTTTTTTAAATTGCGGCAAAACACAGAACATAAAAGGTATCACCTCAGCCATTTTTAAGTATACAGCTCAGTGGTACTGAAAACATTCACGCTGTTGTGCAGCCGCCCCCACCATCCGTCTCCAGAACCTTCCATCGCCCCAAACTGAGACTCTGTCCCCATGAGACAGACTCCCCGCCCCCTGCCCCACCCCCGGCTCCCACCGTCTACCCTTTATCTCTGTGGATGGGACGCCTCTAGGGACCCCCTGTGAGTGGGGTCACGCAGGACGTGTCCTTCTGTGCCTGGCTTTGTCACTGTGCACGGTGTCCTCCGGGTCCATCCGCGTGGTGGCAGGTGGCAGGACGTCCTTCCTTTTTAGGGCTGGATAATAGTTCAGTGTGTGCATGGATCCTGTTGTGTTTACCCGTCATCCATCAGTGGACACGCGTTGATTCCACGTGGTAGCGATTGTAAATGATGCTGCCATGAACGTGGGTGTGCAAGTGAGATGACTTCTCAGCCAGGACCTAAAGGGGATGCGGGAAGAGCCATATGGGAGAATTGCAGGCAGAGGCCGCAGTTTACGCAAAGGTCCTGAGGCAGGACCAGGCCTGGTGTGTTGGAGGAACAGTGGGGAGGCCCTGAATGGCTGCAGCAGAGCGAGTGAGGGGGAGGGAGGGAGGAGTTGGGCAGGTTGAGTAAGGCCCGGGGGCCTCTGGGGGACTTAGGCTTTTATCCCGAGGGATGCAGGAGCCCGGGGGAGCTGTGGGCAGAGGAGGGACGCTACCTTTCCCAGTCACTTGTCTGTGGCTGGCAGCCTTGCCACACGGGGCCGTGTTTTGCTCCCTCCCTTCTGCTCTGTGCCTGGACAGATCTTCGACCCCCCGGAGGAGTTGGAGCGGAAGGTGTGGGAGCTGGCGCGGCTGGTCTGGCAGTCCTCCAACGTGGTGTTCCACACCGGTGCCGGCATCAGCACCGCCTCCGGCATCCCCGACTTCAGGTCCGTGGGCGTGGAGGGGAGGTTGAGGCAGGGCCTGCCAGGCGGCCAGCAGCTTCCCCATAAGCTCGCGCATCTTTGGGCATCAGAACCCATCCTGTTGGCATCCCCCTGGGGGTGGGGGAGGGGGCGCACATCTGCCCTTACAGATGTGTCCCTTTAAGTCGCTCCACATTCGGGGCGCCTGGGTGGCTTAGTCGGTTAAGCGTCCGACTTTCGCTTAGGTCATGATCTCGCGGTTCGTGGGTTCGAGCCCCGCGTCGGGCTCTGTGCTGACTGCCAGCTCAGAGCCTGGAGCCTGTTTCAGAGTCTGTGTCTCCCTCTCTCTCTGACCCTCCCCCGCTCACGCTGTCTCTCTCTCTCCTAGAAATAAATAAAAAAATATTTTAAAAAAAACCCTTATAAGTCGCTCCACATTCTGCTCACACCCCATTGGCCAGAACGTGGTCACCTGACCATACGTAGCTGCAAGGGATCCTGGGGAATGTGGTCTTTTGCCTGGCTTAGTGTCCATGCCTAACTATTGGGATGCTATCACCTTAGAAGATGGGCAGATTGATATTAGGGGTAATTAGCTCCACACTCACTTGCAGATATTTTTCTATCAGACCTGGTGGCGGGCAAGTGGCTTTCACCCTCCAGCCCTCAGCCTCCTCGCTTTTTAACAGGGGTGTGCGACCAGACCGTGTCTCAGCTCCTGTTTGCTTTGGGCATATCTTGTGTTAG